AAAAATGTAGTGCGCTTCCAGAGTATAATAAAAAAAGAATTTAATAACTTACATGTAAGCATAAAACAATTTGTTTGTCACCACTAGGCAAATATTGTATTGGAATCTTTGTTGATATTTGTTCACCAAGTCCCTGAGGAAGTCCAATTTCGGGACGAAATGCGTAGGACGCCTAGTGGTGACAAACAAATTGTTTTATGCTTACATGTAAGTTATTAATTCTTTTATTATACTCTGGAAGTGCACTACATTTTTTTCTGTATATTTTTCTCTTGAGTTACATATTCCAACCTACTGATGGGAGTGTGAAGATGAAAAAATACAGTGGATATTGGAGGAGAGATTTTACTAAAGGCTGTTTTACATCTGGGAATTTGTGAGTGGCTAATTGTAACTAACATTTTGTTACTTACTCTCACACAGTTAAACGCCATGTTATTTTATTTATTCTGTATTTAGCAGATTATCCCCTATTCTATTTGTTGAAGACAGGAGGAAGTCTTTGGGGACCTATCTGGATTCTTTACCTGACACAGGGAAGCTCCGGTCTGCTTTAAATTATACACTTTTCTCACTGGGGTTGTGTTCACATATCTTGTTTTGCTTTTTGTATCTTTATAGGTAGGGTTAGTATTTTAAATTGATACCTGTAGGGGACAGGAAGCCAGTGTAAGGATCAACAGAGGGGTGAGGTGTGAGAGGAGCGACAGGAGAGAGAGATCAGCCTGGCGGCAGCATTCATCACAGATTGTCGGGGGGCAGTATATAAAAGCCTAAGTATATGTCTGCAATGACACATATGAAAAAATTAAATCTTCTTAGGAAAATGTGAGTAATTTTAACCAAAATAACAAATACAACATCATGCTGCAATGTAAAAATGTATATATTTTTTCACCATTTTTGTTTTTAAATTCCCTTTAATAAATTAGTTATTTGCATCCCTGGTACTACATACTACATACTACATACATCTGTTGGAAATGTTCAATGTATATTCTATGGCATGCGTTATTATCAAGTACAATCCATGAGCCTTTTTGATGATTCAGAAATGTATCATAAATATTAAAAAATCATTTGTCTGCACCTGACAATCCGCTATTCACCTGACATACATATACAGAAATTTCAGTGTATATGATAAGGGCAGAAGATATATATGTCTGTATTTTTGCATGAAGGTACATAAGAAGAATACACTTCATTGTAGACAACAGGAGCAGAGAAGATTAACCACTTAAGGACACAACTTATGGAATAAAAGGGAATAATGAGGGAATATTTCCATCGTCTGTCCTTAAGGGGTTAAGATCCCACAGGGGCAGTTAATCAGTTTTGGGCCTTCTTTATTCTTCACACAGAGATGGTTAAAGTGATACTGTAGTGCCAGGAATACAAAGCTGTAATCCTGGCACTCTCGCTCCCCCCTCCTTCACACTGCCCCCAGCCGGGTAAATAAAGGGTGCTAATGCGCATGCACAGCAAATGCAGCAGCGCTTTAGAGCTCCCCATAGGAAAACATTGAATCAATGACTTTCCTATGGGGAAAAATCTGACGCTGGGTGTCCCCATGCAGAGCCTGAGGACATCCAGCATTAGATACTGGACCAAAGGTCCGTTTAAATCCAGGAAGCCCTCTAGTGGTTGCCTGGTAGACAGTCAATGTGGGCAGACTTAGAACTGCAATGTGAACATTGCAGTTTCTCTGGAATTGCAATGTTTAACATTGCAGCACCAAGTTCAAAAGGGACATTGCACACAGACTGCTTGAATTAGCTAAAGTGGTCTGGGTGCCTACAGTGTCCCTTTAATGGGCCAAAGAAATTCATAGTTTTATGGCCCATGTTCAAACCCTGGTCCCAAGCGGCTGCCTAGAGTCGCTTTACAATTAATCCTTGTCTGCACAGGAGTCAGGTAGATAACTCCTTTACCATTATCTGTTACTACCTAAACAAATACAGATATTTGTGGTTAAAGGCCTATCACATCCTAGAGGGTGCAATTGTAGTGTATTACCTTTGTAGTTGTAACTGTTAGGAAAATGTACATCATAACTAAAAAAAAATTAGAACAATTACCAGCCTATTTCTTAATCAGGGACATAGACACATATTGGTCTATTGGCTAACACTAGTAGGGATGTAAAAACAATGTTAAAATAGAGCAATTTAAAAAAACAAAACAGTTTTTATGTTGTTTGGTTATCAAACCGCATGGGAAAAAATATATAAAAAATACATATATAGTATAAATACATCTGGAGGCAGGCAGACAAACATAAGTAGGTTTATTAGATGGCTGTAGTGATTGGAAAATTTGGCAAATTCTGTTTTTATGACCTAAATTTTAAGGTGTTAACTCTTAAAAGTTAAAAAAAAAAGTTGGCCAGTTACTGGAGCAATATATATATATATACCAATCAGATATAAATTTCTCTCTATGACCTTATATTCTATTTCATTTTTAAAGGTTTCTTTTTCGGTTTGCACCAAAGGCCTCTTTCTACATTAATATACATGTCAGACATGTTTCTACATCATTTTTAGGTCTTCAGGAAAATTTCACCGCTAAACATCCAACTATGATCAAAGACTTGGCACTTTTAAACAGTTAAATTACCCCCTAAATATTTATGTTCTGATGTTTCCCACCCACATCCAAACAAAGAAATAACAATAAGCAGAATTACATATTTCTCCAGAGAAAGCAGTGCTCAGCCCCCTTGCCAAATTTACTCTATCCAAACTCGGTGATGGAAACCACATCTTCCTGTGCCATCAAGTAGCTCTTTGACCCTAGCACCCTTTTCTCATTTTGTAATTAGATTATGAAAATAGCAGGCAGCCAAAAGAACTGAAGGTCTTTGTTCTGTGACAGAGCCATGGAAATATATACATATTGAGATCTATGCTACCTGCTCAAGCCGTCAGATGAACAGTCACAGAGTATACCGACCATGGGGTGGATATAATGCAGATATGGCGGTGTTAATCTATGGGCTCGTTTTAGGCTGCTCGTATTTAACAAAATAAATTACTAGTGACTTATATGGAAACATGTAAAGAAAGTACTCTTTAGAACTCTCAAAGTCAACTGGAGGGGCATGTGAAAATAGTCCGTCTTTGCCAAGGATTACAGAAATGCTCAACATATCACAATTTCCACTAGCGTTTGTGTATTTACAGGTATATATGGGAAATACATCTTTGTAGATAAAAATGTAACTAGGAAGGAAATCATGTATCATTGGACAACATACAGAAGTCATACAAGTTATCAATATCTATTTTTAATATATATTGATAACTTTTATGACTTTTAAATCTTTTTAATAATTTACAATAGATTTATAAATCATGCAGTTTATACATAAATGTAATAATTTAAGTCTTTATGATTGAATTTGAGATTTTCTGATGGTTTTTCACACTTTTGCTGTAGCCATGTGTTTTTTAGCTGTATATTATATCTTTATGAATCTGTATATAATCTGTTTATACATAGACACAGGTTTGAGATTACCAGAGGAAGATTTATCTATACATACAGTGTATTTAATTTTCACAAGCTTCTTCTACTCCACATGATTTAGGCCTCTTAATAAATAAACTGGAAACTCTGCCAAACCTGGGTGGAATGCTAATATTAGTAAATAAAGAAATTGGTTTAATTGGAAGGGATTCTACTGCAAAATCTTCATGTATTTAAAGACATACTCTAGAACTGAGTATGTAATGTATGTAATATCAGTGAAATAATGAAAGATATCTGCATTGCATCAAACATATAATATGGGATTGTTTAAAAACTGTTATGCGCAGGAGTACCAAAAAGCTAGATGTTCAGATATTTTAGAACTCCATGATGCTTTGCATTTCTGAAGGCTGGTAAGTCACAATGTGGGTTGTAGTATTATAAATCTGGGAATGTACCTTTAAGATCTCCATTTTTTTATACGGTAAAACTCCCAAAGCCTTGTAAATGTAAGCTAAGAGCAAGAAATAAAAAAGCAAGACGTCAAAGCTGTCCTAGCTTGGTGGATGATAAGAGGTGCTAAGCTTCAAACAGATAATATGTTCAACAATGGTATCACAGCACAGCTGCATGGCTGATACTCCCTTCCATAGTCCGTGCATATCTTGGCTCGGAACAGATTCCTCCTGCCATCCCGCTGTAGCAGTTCTGGCTGTCACATTCCTTCTGGGAGACTTCTAGCCAAACATTTCAGCACAGAGCATGTGACAAACAACAAATTTACAGCGACTAGTTTAAGTTAGAGGTAACTGACTTGCAGGATTTGGAAGAATATAGCCTACATTTTACCACCTAGTTGGCAAATTTTGACAAAACCTTTTTGAAAAAGCTCCCCAAACATTATTCTTGGCCACAATACATTAAATGTGACAAGGTTATATTTAAAAATAATCTGTATCCAAAATGCTTTTTCAGTGGCATTTAACTCCTGTTAGACTCTTAAAAATGTTGAAAAAAACTGGCACATTTTTTCACTGTTGAGGAAGCTATTCCTGCTACATCTATGGACACTCTTGGCTTGGAAACCGTTAGATTCCTTCACAAGGTCTGAAAATAATTAGTAGCACATAGAGCTATGGGAGAACTGTGGGCAGACAGTTGTATCGACTCTCTTGCAACAGTCATTTACGAATTTACGAAGCTTTAGATTTGGACAGATTAACCGCTCAGTTACATGATATACCTAAACCTTTTCACAAAGTTTGGGATGCCAGACTGAATGGTGGAATGTAATTGCTTTACCTTGCTAATTATCTGACCATATCACTCTCACACAGCATTGCCATTGCAATGGACAATTTATCCCCTCTGCACAACTCCTCACCCCCCCTCCACCCCTGGACCGGAGACTAGGATGTGGTATCGAGATTCGCTCTTCCTTCTGTCTCTCACTATCTCTGTACTTTCTCTTTCTCAAAATACATAGCTTATCCCCCGATTTCCTCTCCCCTTTTGCCCTTGGCCCCTACCCTTCCTAATTTTCCATACAGCAATGGGAGAGAACCTTAGATAATAGCACAAAAGGACTGCCTTGGGTCCAATAGGTATTCCCACCTTTCCCCGTTCTGCTTCGAGCATTTGGTTACCGAGATCTCGGAATTTTGCCCTCTCAATGGTTTTATCTTACCTGGTTCTTTTTCCCAAGTTTAGGATATTTCAAGGGACATGCTCACTACATGGGTTCAGCATCTCTTGTGGGTGGTGCTTCATGTTGGTTATCCACACATGGATCCTGATTAAATACAGTACTGCCCAGGTTGCACCAAGAATATATTTGCTTGATTAAACATGAATAAACATACTTGGTCACCTGTCTCTAGAAGCATTGTCTGTTTCTGTGGTACCTTGTTAGTGTATCAATATCAATTTATTTCTGACCTTATCAAAAAGATAGTTTACCTTGTCACCAATGATATAACCTTAAGGCATCTCTTATCAGTATGCCAGCCCCCGATTTAAAGGTCAAATTCCATTTTTCATTACTGGAAATCTCCAAAGGTCCAACAAGCTCATCCTTGCTCATGACATTTGTTGATATAACCATGTTGTCAGTTGTTA